CTTCGTGTACCCATTGAAGGGTCCTTGAATGCTTCACAGTCATCATTAGCCTCTGCAGTCCTTGGGCTGACCCATGTTGCTGTCTCTGGATGAGATGTCAGAGCTGAGTTAATGCGACAACCTGGTATTGGGAAGGGCCATCATGGCCCATCCCTCTGTACTCAGCTATGCTCCACTGTGATCACCATGTGCCTCCTGGAGCTTGTCACACTGTACAAAACACTGATTCAGCTTGATCACCTCAAACAAAAGTTTGCTTTACCTGCTGGGTTACATTGGCTTGTCATGGGCTGGACATTTTTGTACGGGAGGAACATGATAGAGACGCAAGGAAGAATGATGGGAGAGGGATATGTTCATCTTTGTAGCAGAAATATTAAACTGAAATGCAAATCTAATGTTAACCACATCCTTGTGGGCTTCATCTCCTCTTCCTTGGCAGAGAAGGGAGACTCCTGAACATCCATGTGGTGGTTTCTCTTATTTGTAGCTCTTTGTAGTTGGCTGCTTGACTTTTTCAGCTGTTTACTTTGGTGCCACATTTAGACTCTGCAGTTTTACTATCCACCAGTGGTGATTAGCGGCAGGAAGCCCCCATTGTGTACCCTGTCACAATCAAAAGAAACCACAAAGCACCAGTGGTAGGCCTTGCTTGAGCTCTTGCATAGTGCTCAGGAACAAAGTAGAGAATAATCATTGCTTCAGTACAGCAAGAAGGTGTAGGTAGGAGGGACAGATGGTCACCTCCTTTAGTGTGCCTGGACCATTGCATCTTTCTCCCAGATTTTGACCTAGGCCAGTGTATTTCTGCATAACTGCATTTCCAAAGGTGTCCTTTGTTTTGTGTGCCTGCACCCCAAGTAATTTTCAGACTTTTTTTTTTTTTTTTTGCTTTGTTATAGAAGTACGTTTTCAAAACTGTGGTGAATAGTAGTAGGCAAGTTGTGTGCTTTGGATTGGTTTGCTTGTTTATTTGGTTTTTTTTAAGGTATGGTTTATATCCGGCCACCCTCATAAAATCACTTGTTACTGATTTTAGACTATCCCAAGACTATCACTTGTTACTGATTTTAGACTATCCCAAGAATCATGGGGAGGGCAGGATATGGAAGGTCTGAGAGAAGTGGAGGTCAGTTTGGGACAAGGGTATGTGGTGTCTCAGTAGCTAATCCCATTGCCCTAAGAATAGCTGGGAGCCAAGCTGAACCCCTTTTCAGACTGCTGGGCTTTTGAGAGAGACTTCTAGCAGCACCTCAGAAATTGTCTTGAGAGAAGGAAAAAACATGCTTTCATTTTTGCCCAGGACCAAACTGCTGTGCTTTTGAAGTACTGGGGTGTACAAGAGAAGGGAGAGGAGTAGGTAACTGTGAGTCAACCACACCTACTTTATGGGAGCCCTGTGAAAGGTGCCTTTTTAGTTGTTGTGGTTTTATGTCTCTCTTGGACTCACTGAGATGCCTAAAGATCTCTCAGGGAAAAAAAGTTGGGGGTTTCTTTCAGTGCAGAACACTGATATATTGAAATTTAGAAGTGCTCATGCTGCATTCCGTGCTAGGGCAGCACATGGGTTACTGGTCTTTTGGATGGGGCAAAAATCATTTTCTCTCCATCAATGCCTCGCAGAAACTTTGTGTCATGTCCTGGGGCAGCATCCTCAGCAAACCTCTTCAAACACACTGTGCCTGATGTGATTCTGCAGTAATGAGGAACCCACTGAAGACAGCCCTACTGATTGCTGGGCTGTGATTCACTGTCACATGAGCTAATTTGGTTTTGGGGGTGTGTGTCAGTGTGGCATGCTGCCCGTGTAGCTCTGTAATACTCAGTTCAGCTAAGTCCAGGTTTCCTAACAAGTGTCGTACTCATGTGAATTCCTTCTCAACTCCAGCTTCATCACATTAAGAATATTCAAATGAGTCAGGTACATAATTTGAGTCCCCTTATCTGCAAAACAGGGAAAGTACCGAGAGGAAGCTTGTGATGTTTAGTTTGAAAAGTGGGCAGCAGTGGAGAACAAAGTAGCAGTGGAGAACAAAGTAAGTGCCTCATACTTATTGCAAGACGCTTGTAAAAAGTTTTAACTACTGGAGTGATGAAATCATATGACAAGCCAATAATTTTGGTTTGAAATAACTTATTTTCATACAGTTTAACTAGTCTGCTGTGCAAGTCTCTGGACTAAGAACATGCTAGTTTTAGTTTGAATAGCTATCTTAGTCGTACTAAATGACAGCAACTACTTGTCTTAGTAGTATGATTTTTAATTACCCACTAATGAGGATGTTTTATTTAACTAGTTTTTCTCCATGCCTCTTCGTGTGCTTTTTAGATAAATTTAATCGAGCTAACTTTATTTTTTAGTTAACTCTTTAAAGTTCCTAGGCATGTTCTGGTGACAGGTAAGACATAGCTGTACCTTTTGTTGAGTTTTCAACTAATACTTGCCAATACAGCTTTATTGTGCACTTTGTACTTTGTGCATTTCTGCTTTTAGAGTAAGCAAAGTTAGGGGCAAAGCTCCCGTGAAATCAGGGGAATAGCTTAATGGGATGTCCCCATTTTATCACTTCTAATCTCTTCCAAATCCCCTTGTCTGCTAGCTAATCAAATAGAGATAAAACAATTAATCTTTTACCTTTTCTTAAAGAAGGAGGAGGTAAGCATGTGTTTTGAAGTTGGGCTTTGAAGACATCTTTGTACTTGTTTTAATGTTGCTCCTTCTGGATGTGGAATAAAATAAAATCCACAGTTTCCTTAAAGTTTTGAAGATTTCTTCTCTCTCCTTGAGCGGTAGCAGTGGTTACTCTCCCTGGGCTGTTATGAGCCGGGGGGTTGCCTGTGTGGCCCAAGGTGGACCTTTCAGGGTCTGGTTGGAGATCTGACCTCTCGCCTGTTCTCTGCCTTGTCCCCTGGGGCAGGGACTGATGGAGAGCAGAGTCTGGTAGCTCAGATGTCATCCCTCCCACAGGCGTCACATTACAGTTATGATATACTTTTCCCCAAAAAGGGAGACTTGATTTCCCAACTGGCCCCTACTTTTCCTTGTGTGACCCCATTTCTTTGCTTACGATGGTCAGTAACTTGCATTTAAGTAGCTGCTGTCTGAACCAATTGCTTCTTATATTATTTTTGTAGCCTTATTTCTTAGAGTTTTCCACCCTGCTGTGTTGCTTGTGTGAAAATTGAAAACTTTATTGCTGATCTCACCAGAATTTAAAATCCGTCACGTACTTGTATGACAGGCATTATCAGTGTTTGTTCTGGGTTAGGAAGAGTACAGGAGGCTGAAGGAAGGCTGACAAAGCCTTACTGGCAGGTGGACAACACCAGGCTGGTAGGGAAGGTGGTTTGTTTCAAATATGAGAAACTGAGCAGAAAAATTATCTTCTCTGCAAAGGCTTTTCTGGAGAGAGAAGGCTTTCTGTTGTAGGATGTATTTCATGTGGAAGCCCAAGCAAGGGGGCAAGCTTTGAACTCAGGGAGGTGAACTTCAAAATAGAAATGTAACCTATGTATTGGATTTCTTTTAGTCTGGTTATGAAACTTGATTACTGTTACTTTTTGTTTTAATGGTGCGTAGCTGGTCTGGGTGAATAAAATTTGTATATGTTTTTAAGGAGCCTGGGATTACTTGCTAGGAGAATCAACCACAGGGAATTGCAACTTCCTAGCCCACCAGTTTAAAAATAAATTTCAAAACAAAACCAACACATGCAAATCTTGGTCAAAGTGCTAAAAATAGGTTCCATTTACATTTCAAATCTGTGTGTGTGGAACTTGCATCTGCTTATCTCAAGAGAAAAATACACCAAAGTTTTGGGAAAAAAAAAAAAAAAACAACAACTAGAGGCAAATAGTTGTTTTTACTGTTGTTTTGGGGTTTTTTTGGCAAAACCTCCTCTGTTCAACATCTGTAATAGAAGGGAAATAATGAGCTGTCTCCTCAGTGACAAACAGATATTCATAACAATAGATTGTTTTGCAAGTGTCTACCCTGTAACCCTGGGTGCTTGTCCTTCAGAGCAGCCCTGGTGAGACCTAGCCTTGAATGTGAGGGCTGTGCGTGGCCAGTCGTGGAAGAGGCTGCAGGGAGCTGTGGTTTGGACCAACACAGTGGTTGGAGATGACCTCAGCTGCAGTGAATGACAAGCTGGCTGGTATATTCTGGTTCACGTTATCCAAACTGACGGGGCTGGATTTTAAATCCCCGTTTCTTTCTCCTGCTGGGATGAAAGTGTGCCAGCTGGGGGTCACATGGTGTGAGAGCTGTGAACAATAAAAGAAAGTTACTTGCAGGAACTTCTCTTTTCAGTTAATCCTTTTGCTTTTTAAAAATGTGCATTTTTACAGTTCAGAATTCACTCTACTATCTTTGTATTCTACCCTGGGGCACAACATCTAGTTTATGCCGATTGATTTGAAATTACTTTAGTGACTTTCATTCTGTGCCAAATAAGCTGATGTTTTCATAACAATTTTTTAATTGGACATTTTTGGTCACTGCTCTGGTATCCTGCGTGTTGTTTTTACTTCATTCTGGGCATAAATTTAAATACAGATTATGCAATGAGAAAGATTATTAGAAATGAGCATCATGCAGTATAAAGGGAGAACAAAGTACCAACCAGAGACACGTACTACTAACTTGTCCTTTAACCTTGATACTGCTTTAATTACAAAGAGCAATGCAATTAATAGTGACAAAACTTCCGTAGTAGCTAGCTGAGGCATCAGGGAAAACAATTTAGAGTAGTCCCTCCTCCTCCTCCTCCTCCTCCTGCTTTTTGCAGCAGTTTGTAGGTTACATAAGCTGATTTCTTTGTTTTTCCTCTTTAATAGTGAACAGCCTTTGCTCTCTTCTCTGAGCAGGCTGGTTTGCATGCTTACGTTTTTCCTCTCAAAACAGGCTTGCCTTCAAAGAGGAGGAGCATAGTGTAATTGAAAGCCCCAGCATGTAAACTGCCAGCATATACTGAACATCTGGTGAGAAGTCCTTTCCGGCAGCTTATAGTTCTTGTAAATAGGATGTATGTGAGCCTGTCATAGGGTTATTACCGCTGTGAAATCAATTCCTCCTGTGGTGGTACTGGATTATATTTATAAACAATGTCTTCTGAACCAGGTAAGACCGAAGGTGATGCTTCTGTTAAACTTTCAGCTTTTCAAGACTTGGGGCATGTTTGTATCCAGTGGCACTAAGAGTTAAACTTTTCTGAGGCAAACAAACCAGTGAATCTCCAGCTGCCTTGTGATGCAATACAGCTGGAATGCTCTGGTGGCTTTTTCCTCCTGTTCTCAGTAAATGAGCTTGCAATCTCTTGAACCGCTTGCCCGATACATCTGCCACTCTGAGAACTCGGCTATTTTTGGCTCATTTTGCTGCTGCTTTCACCAGCTCGAGACTTTCTTAAAAGCAAATGAGTTTTATTTATAAGTGTTGTCTGTTCCTGGCTCATTTGCCATCGAGCCCTGTTCGTAGCTGCAAGGTTTCTATAGGACACTTCTGGCTTTAAGAATTTTATCTCTCATTGTTTTAGGAAGTAGGTGTACACTTTTGACTTACGCTCAGCTTTTCACGTATAATGCCCCAATAATTTGTTTAACTAATGCTTACTCTACATTAATTCTGGAAGCCAATTCTGAACATTAAAATAATGTTTTCTTTTATTGTGTCATACAGTAAAAGGTTTGGATTTTTTTCCATTTCAAATATGCTTGTAACTTAAAGCAGTATTTTCAATGGCATTCTTAAAAATTAGAGTGCATTTTTCAATTCTGAGAAAAGTTCAGCTTAGGGTAAGTTAAAAGTCTTCAACCAACCCTAACAGTAAATATTCTGAATTAAGCTTTCCACGGAAGGATAGATGAAGCAGGTCTGCAGAAGGTTTGGGTTCAGAATGCTGGTCCTCTGAGACTAAACAGAGGGAAGGGATTCACTGGCTGAGTGAATCTGAGAGATTCTAGAGAAGGTTGGAGTAGACGCATGCAAATACTTCTACCTCAGCTCTCCTGATTTCAGTACTTGTGGGCATCTTATTTTTCTTTGGCACAAAGAATGCTTCTTTAAAAATCTTTCTGTTGGCTCCTTATCTATTTTATGATCAAATTGGAAATAGTCCTTCTCCCTTTAGATTTTGATCATCAACAGAATGGGAATGGCATCTTTCCTCCCACTATTTACATATCATATTTCTACATCCTCAGAAGAATCCTCATGCGGATGTAGGAATTATTCTTCTTTTTTTTTTCCACAGATGTAGCTCTTAAGAGCTGTTTTATAGGGTCTGTAATGCATATTCTTTTCTTGTAAATGTAGCATAAAACCCACATGGTTTTTCAGGAAGCTCAATGTGGTGTCACAACTCCTATTTTTGATATTATAACTCATCTTCCCTCTTGCCCTTTGGCTTACTTTGGATTATTTCTGTTTGCATAGGCCTCCAGTGTGCTTACATACTAACAGAGGCAGTCTGTCAAATACATTGGTGACGCTGTTATCTTTATATTTTTTTTTAGTTTTTTTTAGAGAGATCAAATATGTGGAGTACAAATATATTTGTATGTGCTTTAAGGTGACGTAGGTTATACTGCCATACTATCACGGTACTATCCAGGCAGTGTATTTACCCAGATGTGAGTTAGAAGTTACATAAAAGCAGTTCATGCAGGAGTGGACTGTGTTGTAAATACCTGGCTTGAAGGGCAAGAAGGGGTGAGCTTCTAGCAGCCTCTGCAATAGCATATAGATACCTCCTAATGTCACCATCTCGGAACGATGTCAGGAGACCTAAGGATGCAGATGGTACGCATAGAAAAGGTGACAGCAAGTAGTTCCAGTCTGTGTGGGTTTGAAATGGAGTGGACAAATATCCCTTGACGGTCCTGAATGGTATCTGAGAGAAGCCGTGAGTGACTGCTTTCTCAGCCACTTTCTGAAGCACCTCTGATCTGAAACGGAAAGAAGTCCTTCCAGTTCTGACTGCTGGGACTGGGCGAGAGGGGAACAGCCCAGCTGAAGGGACAGTGCCTATAGGAGGGTATGATTTCACATGGAGTTTATTCATCGCTCTATTTACCTTTTCTGAAGCTTTGATGTTTCTGAAGACTGGAACTTTATAGAATTATATATCTTTTTGGTTTTAGTAGTATATTCACTACAGGGTGAGGACTTCGCTGAAAAACTGATTTCAAGCCATGTCATTTTGAAAGGCACAATGATATTGTGACCCAGAAGTCAAGAGAGAATTAAGTGTTTTTCATTAGTACCGTTGCTACATTTGGCTTTGTGACTACAGCACCCAAGCCTTATGTTAGTCTTTTATGTGGTAGGTGCTATATAAAAAGAGAGAGGCACTCTAATGGCTTACGTCAATGCTTGTAAACCCAATGAATTTGTTGACATTTTTACTAAAAATTCAAAATGTTTACTGAATGCTGCTCTTCCTCTCTCTCTGCTCCCATACCCCTCCTGCCCCCCAGGGTTTATAAAAATTCTAAAACAAAAGAATTAAATTCCTTTAATGTTAAGGGTTTGGAAATATAGTGCCTGAGTGTTCCTTACCGCTTGACCTTGAGAAGGGTAGGTAGTTAGGAAACACAATTTTTCCTTTAGATTGCCGTAAAATATTTAACACCAGGGGCAACAACTAGGTTAGGTCATGTAAGGTCAAGAGGGATTGGGGTATCACCAAACCTTGTATTATAAAATAAATTAAATGTTTAGCCTTAAACAAATGTTATAAGAGTAATTTCATACGTTTTACTTACTCTTTGTTTTGGAAAACTTTCTTCCCCAACATGCAAGCCATCAGCTTTTTTTAAATGAATATTTTTATACTCTTTCTTCTGATGCCAAAAACTGAGGCTCTAAGGAAAACGGTAAATATTGCATAGGAGTCAGCAGCATTTTGTTGGGCTGCAGTTCTGTGAACGGCCAAATGATCCAGTGGGCAGCTGCTGCCAAAAAGCTGCCCAGTCCCTCCCGGGGACTTTCCCAGACTTTTGATTTCATCCACGAGCCAATTCAGCTCACTCACACGGCACCAAACTCCTGGGATAAAACCAGTGTCCGCTTGCCTGCGGGCTGCAGGGGTTAGAGAGAAACCCAAGGAGTCTCAGAGCTGGTAAGAAGTGAGCAGTGGGAGCTAGGGGGATGTGGAGGGATGGAGGGGATAAAACTTTCTGTTCTTGGAGGGGGGCTGTCTCGCTCTGTCTAGGGTACCTGCAGTTTGGGTTTGAGCAGCCTTTTTTGGGGCCTTCAAACGTTTTCATTTTCAAAATGTTATTGCAGAGTGAAAGGATGCACATCCTTCAGATGTGTTGGACCAAACTTGAGCTATTACGAAATTACTTCTCTATTAAAAAAAAAAACCCAAACAAACTATAAAAGTTTTTGGAACAGTATGGTAAATACTCATCCAAGTCCGCATCATCAAAATATTTTAATTCTCCAACTTAGTTTTATGAAATTACATTTTAAAGTTGTCATACAGTTATGATCTTTTTTTTTTTTTTTCTCTTTTAAAAAAGTATGTTTTAAATGGGGGTCTGGAAAACAGAGGAGAGAGGACTAAAAAATAGAATTGTTCTGAATTTGTGTCTCTTGGCCAGTTCATAGCATGAAATGTGAGGCTGTTTCAGTCTGGCTAATGTTCAAGAGCCAACTGTACTGATGTGCAGGTCTGTTAATGTTGGGTGAATTCTGTGGACAGCGCGAACAGTGGTCATCTCTGGCAATTTAAAGCTGAATGATCTTTTTCCCCATTTGGATTCCAGGCAACTTGCATTTGACTTCCTTCCGTAAGGATGTTTATGAACTGATGAGTTAGTGTGAAATGGTGATCTCTTCCTCTTGTTCCACATGGACAAGAGACGACGTAAAAGGTGGCATAATTATGGTAGGCTTTAAAGAGCCTGGACAAGGAAGGTCTATCTTGAATGATTTCACAGGAAGGCCCTAAATGTACTTAAATCAGGCTTTTTGTGGCTATTCTTCCTTTTTTTTCTTTTCTCCTTTTTCCAACCAGGTCAAAAGCAGGAAGCACTTGAATTCTTGTGAATTGTCCAGCTTTGGGTTCTTTATATTTCTGTTTTGGTGCAGTGAGCATTCCCAGGAAGCTGCTTGTTTTTCTGCGTTTCGTAGATGATGGTGGTTAATTACTTGGCAGGGAGACTGAAGTGCCTGGGGAGCCTGGCAGTGGGCTGCCTGCCCCTGCCTTGGGGGAAGAAAGGCATTTGCCACCGAGCAGCCGGAGCGCCGCACAGCTGCACCGCTCCTGCTGCTGGAAGGGACGAGCAACCGGGTGTTCCCCTCCACCCACCCTTTGTTCATTATCAAGTTCATAACTTTATATTTCCTTATAATCTTTCAAATGACATGGAATAGTGTCTGGTAGCCTGTTGGGACGCTATTGTACCGTTAATACCCTGCAGCCTGTTCCTTAATTAGGACGTATTACTTTAATTCTCAAGCCACGCATTTTTAGAGAATAGGGGTTTTTTTGTTACTCTTCCCCCCTTTACTATTTGCTCCAACCCTGTTGAGATGTGATTCAACAGAATTAATATTATCCATTGGCTACTTGTTTCTGGAAAGGGAGTTGGGTCTTCCTTTCCCCATCACCCCCAGAGTTGGGGGACGGTCTCTTTTCTCAAGTCACAGGCAACAGGACGAGAGGAAATGGCCTCAAGTTGCACCAGGGTAGGTTCAGGCTGGATATTAGGAAAAATTTTTTCACTGTAAAGGGTTATCAGCCATTGGAATGGGCTGCCCAGGGAGGTGGTGGAGGCACCATCCCTGGAGGTGTTCAAAAGACAGGTTGATGTAGTGCTGGGAGGTATGGTTTAGTGATGGTGATGCTTCTTGTTTGTTGTGTGGGTGTCTATTTTTGTCAAAGTTAGGTTGACGGTTGGACAAGATGATCTTTAAGGTCCCTTCCAACCTAGAAGATTCTGTGATTCTGTGATCACTGAAGTTGTGTCTTTGCCCAATCTCCGGTGCATCTAAGGTGAAAGAATGCGTGAAGCTGGCAGCTTTTTTTTTTTTTTGGCAAGGTTACGTTTCTGATGGCTTAACTTTCCCGGCCTGCATCCTGGAGGTAAATGCCTGCCAGCACTGATGCA